TTCAGTGCCTCCTTTGCACCATATTTTATTTTTTCTTTCTCTTGTTTGGCTCATATTATTTAGTGGACTCTTCCTCTAGCCATTTTTATTTTAGTGAACTATAAAGTTAGAGAAGATTTTTGTCAGATATTTGAAACTCTTGCGTGTCTTCTTTTCTTCACTCTTATGTTTAACTGTTATTGTTTTTATAAAAGAAAACTAACCATAAATCAATTAAAATACAACTCCTTAAAATATCATCTTCAAAATAAACATCACTATTTTGAGATCTTTACTCAATAAATTAGAAAATATTAGCTTAATGTACCTCCACAAGCAACATCTTAGAACAGATTGTGCTTGCTCTCTAGAGGCCAATTTCTTTTCCTTATTTTGACAAAAAAACTGGTCTTTACTCAATTTAATTAGTTTTAATGCATCTGGAATTATTTTAAGTTACCATTGAAACATTAATGACTCCAATTTTTAAGAAACTTTAAAATTACAGAGTTAAAAGAAGAATAGGATTTATTTTAGAATAGTACTTTTTTAAGTAGCCCCTTTATTGACACAGGCTTTAATTGTTAGACAGCTATAGTTTGTAATAAAGAAATGAGAACAAGTGGTGGTAACATAAATGTGAACAATTAGCTGATTCTAATTAATTCACCAAGCATTACTGGTAACTGTTATATATTGGAAATTCATCTCTTTATTAAACCTTAGACTAAGGAAGTGTAACTAGACATGTTTTAACTTTTCTTCTCCCTGGTATTATTGATCTAAACTTCTATTAGCTTATATTTCAAAGCTGTTTTGAGAGGAACAAATCATAATAAAATTGAAATTGTAGCAAGTAAAGTATTCTCTTAGGGTCATTGTGTATTTTTGTAGAGAATTAATATATTTTGAGCCAAGATGCTCATAAATGCAAGAGCAATGATTTTAATCAAATACTCTCTGAAAAAGAATTATATTGTCTTTAAGAGTCAGTTTATATATTATCTGCAACAAAAGTAGTCACTTTATCCCTTACTAAGTTAAAGTTTATGATATGGGATATCTTAGAAATCAGGCATTTTTCTTATTAAGTACTATGCAGAGGGGAGTAGACTGTTTTTTGCTTTTACATAATCAGGGTAACTACTGAAATATAAGCCAACTCATTTTTTAAGCTCAGTATTATTTTACATATTGTACTAGCCTTTGCTTTTCCTTTGGTATACTAGATGAAAGCATTAATAATCAAAGCAGAATAAAACCATTTTTTTTATTCTATAAATTCCTTTCTTGCAGACTGCTTCACTGCAAATCATGTTTCCCATTTGTATTTATCCTCATTTTAGTCTCTTTTGGAAATCATCTGATTTGTACTTGTTCCCTCAAACCTATAGTTTTTATTTCTAGCACAAAAGTCTTTTGAGAAATGTAATTTGATAAGTTATATGCTATCAGAACTCATGTGTTACAGAGCAATTTTATTTGCCTTTTTAAAAGTAGAATTCAGTTTGAATTTACTGTTCTTTATCTGCTCTGAAGCACTATATTTATTTAGGTAACAACTGAATTTCCTTTCTACTGACAATGATGCAAGAGGTTTTTGTTGGGGTTTTTTTTTTGTTGTTGTTGTTTTTTCCCCTTCCATTTTTGGTGCTGGAAGGTGTGATGTTGTTGCCCATTAAATATGTGAGAGCTGAGATGAGAAATACATTGTTTTGCTATAAAAATCTGTGTGAACTCATCTTTTTTCCTTCCTTACCCACCTCGTTCTCTATTGCTAGAATATTAACAGTGAATTCAAGTGATGTTAAACTCCATTCTTGATTTGTTTAAAACTCTGAAAATTAATTTAACAAAAGATAGCATAAAGTATGTTCCACAATAAATTTATAAGATCCACCAATACAGAAATGGATTTATGACTGCAGTATATGTTATTTTGTTACATAAACATTTTATTCATACTGAAAGTTGATAAGCACCAATAAATTGTCACAATATATTTTCACTTTCCTTAACGTCCTCCAATGCTTTTTTTTTTTTTTTTTTTTTGTGTGACTGGTAAGGGAATCGTAACCCTTGGCTTGGTGTTGCCCGCACCGCGCTCAGCCAGTGAGCGCACCGGCCATTCCTATATAGGATCCAAACCCACTGCCTCGGCCCTCCAGCGCCACTGCGCTCCCAGCGCCGCACTCTCCCGAGTGAGCCACAGGGTCGGCCCTCCAATGCTTATTTTTAGACACAACTTAATTTGATTTTTGGTGAAAATAAAAGAATAATTCTGTATTATTTATAAAGTGTGTGTAGTGCCAGAACCCTAGGAAGCAGTCAATCATGGGGACAGGTGCCAGGTTGACAAGAGCCAGGATCATGTGGTAGGAGCTTAGAATAAGAGTCAGGAATGACAATAGGCCAGACCTCCAGAGAATTAACTAAAGAAACCAATCACTCGTCAAGTTGGAGGGAGAAGACTTTCAAACAAGATGCAAATAAAGTAGGTAGTCTAGAAATTGTAAATGTCAGTGATTGTGTTGCCAACCTATCTGCTCAAGCCATGATAAATGACAACTCTGCTATGGAAGTTATACTCTATGATAAAGTCTAAATTCAACTCAGTTAGAGTCCATGATGGACATAAATCATCAACCCCTCAATCCCTTGACTTGTCAACCCTAAGCATACTTTCCTGACGTTACTTTCTAATATAGACTTACAGATTAGTAAGGAGCATTCCTTACCTCTAAGAGAGTCAGCCTTAATCTAACCCAATATATACCAGACTGGGTTCCAGATTCTGTAGAAAAAAGAGAGTCCTATGATCCAATAAATTTGGGAGTTCATATGCTGTATCCTGCATTATAAGTTACAATTTTTTTTTTTTTTTTTTACCATTTAGCATTTTTTGTTTATTTTATTCATTCAACAAACATTTATTAAATTCCTTCTTGAGCCGGACATCAGTAAATAAAAGGGACAGAATGAGAGACCATGTAGTTATGTTCTACACTATTAGATCTTACAGTCTGTGTAGAAAGATAGACATTAAAATAAGTAATTATGGGGCCGGCCCGGTGGCGCACTGCTACAGTGCGCCGCTTGGGAGCGCGGCGGTGCTCCTGCCGAGGGTTTGGATCCCACATACAGACCGGTTCCCGCTCACTGGCTGAGCGAGGTGTGGGTGCAACACCTACAGTGCGCCGCTTGGGAGCGCGGCGGTGCTCCTGCCGAGGGTTTGGATCCCACATACAGACCGGTTCCTGCTCACTGGCTGAGCGAGGGGCGGGCGCAGCACCGAGGGTTGCGATCCCGTTGCCGGTCCCGGTCCGGTACGGGCGCGACACTGAGGGTTGCGGTCCATTGCCGGACACGAAAAAAGAGACAAAAAGGAAAAAAAAAAAAGAAGTAATTATGATAGAATGGTAAAGGTAAAATAAGGGAGATCCAGTCCTCAAAGGCAACATATAGCATGCATACCTCACCTGGTCTGCAAAGAGTCAAGAAAGGGATTTCCAAGAAGTACCATCTATGCTAACAACCTGAAGATCAAGTAGAAGTTAGACAGTCAAGGAACTTTCAGTCACAACTGGAGCAGTATCAATAACAACAAATAGCTAAAGCTGCCATGTAATTATACTCCTGCGATCTGTCAGATACTGTGCTAGATATTTTCCAGGTGTTCTATCAAAGATCCTCCTGGGAGAATTTCATTACTTATCCAAGATCATATAGCTAGTAGTGGCAAGAACCAGAATTTGAATCTTGATTGATCTGACTCCAAAGTCCTCTTTCTGCTATCCCACATTGGCTCTCAAAGTAATTAAACTAATTTTAATTAAATTAGTTTTGCTAAAACAAAAAAGTAATTTGAGTTATACCTTAAGTTTGCTTTGTTTTTGATTGTCATATGGTATTTACTGCTTTTTTAAAGTAGACACACATTTTATAATGTTAATAGATTGTAGTAAAATTTGGCATTTGGGTATAAGTTTCTCAAATATATATCATAACACCAGGGTCTGAAGTTTACTTTCCAAGTAGTGTCTTACACAGGGTCGATACTCAAAACAACACAACTGCAACTTCACATTTTACTTTGAATAAGTGGTAGGGTAGTTTGAAAAGACAATTTTAAACTCTTCCGAAGAAAGGTGCTACTCATATTTTAAAAGTAGTTCTAATTGTGTGTACGACACGATCAAGGTGGCCATGGAATTTTTCAGTTTTAAGATAGGGTATATGTAGAAGGTGAAGATATAAAATTGAGCCCCTTAAAAATGTCTGAACCTACCTGCCATGTACAGGTTCTGTACGCACATTTTTGGCAAGAATATCTGTAGGTGATGTGAACTTCATATCTCATGTGAGAAGGCTCATAACATCAGGATAGCTCACAATTAATATTTTTGAAGATTTTGATGTAAAGGAGGGTCAGAAAAATATAGTAGAAGGTAGATTTAAGAAAATAAAATGGATTGCCCTAATTCCAACTGTTCAAAATCCTGTGAAGTAACTCCAGTATTCTTGGAGCGGGGTAAGATAGTCTGGCTTTGGCACCTAGTGATGGCAGGTTGGCATATTGGGCCTGGATGTGTAATTCATAGACTTGCTTTAATTGGCCATGTCAGCACACCAGTCATTACCAGACTTGTCATTAAAGTTATTTTTAAGTAACATAAATATTATATATAATATAAATATATATATACATATTTAAAATTCTTCCTCTTCACCCTCAGAAGGTCATTTTGAGGTGTGAAATGGCCAAAAGTAGATTACCAAAAAGAAAAATAGAAGTGAAGAGCCTGGATAATTCATAAACCTGGATTAACTCCCAAACCCTTGTAATTTATGTTAAATCCACAAAATACTGTTACTGAATGGACCTTCACTTGCTACTGTTATTTTTCTTGGAAAAAGCAAGACAATTAACAAAAATTTAAAAAGTACTCTTGTATCTTTATTGATGATCAAACACCGGTTTATTTCCTTACTAACTGTAAAATGTATTGCTTTAACTTTAGGGACACCACAGTACAAACTCTTACTCTTCAGCCTTCAGTTAGAGATGGACTTATTGTGTATGAAGACTCACCTTTGGTTAGTAATTCAATTATATGAATATTTTCAAGAGTATTTTTTGAATGATAGTTGTATTTCAGCCTTTGGGTGGGGGTGGGGGGGAATCTCCCATTGATTCCAATATATTTTAGTCTCACTGGAAAGCACTTATTTTTGTGTCGTTTTAGGGGTAGATATTTAAATGCAAATTATTGGGGAAATAACATGTTTTCTTATTCTTTTCTCTCTTCAGAGTGAGAGATTGAGAGAATGACAGAAATCCTCTATTGATTTATTTTTTATTCTAGAATTTTTTTTTTTCCTTTTTGTCTTTTTTCGTGTCCGGCAACGGATCGCAACCCTCAGTGTCGCGCCCGTACCGGACCGGGACCGGCAACGGGATCGCAACCCTCGGTGTTGCTCCCACACCTCGCTCAGCCAGTGAACGGGAACCGGTCTGTACGTGGGATCCGAACCCTCCGCGGGAGCGCCACCGCGCTTCCCAAGCGGCGCACTGTAGCAGTGCGCCACCGGGCCGGCCCTTATTCTAGAATTTTTTTTAAAAAAGTTTGCTATTGTTTTTAAATGTGTAGAGTTTGAAATTAGGTAATATTTCTAGAGAGGTTTTGTTTTGTTTTGTTTTTTGGTTTTTTTAATGGTTTTAACTAATAAAATATTAACCCAGTGCTTTGGGCAGCTGGGAAGATCCAGTCTTTAGTTTCCTACACAAGATCCAAAGAAATCCCAGCATGCAAGGCATGTTTCTCATGTCTTCTTTATTTACACAAATGAGCCATCATGGGAACATCCATGGTCCAGACCCCAGGGATTGTAGTCTTTTAGGATATCCTGCCTCAGTTCTCCCAGTTTGGACCTGACTTTCCCTGAACAGAGATGGGGTTAGAGATAGAAGCTATATGTTTTCTTTTTTGTTTGTTTGTTTTTTAATTCAGTTTATTTTTACCCTAAAATTTTTTAAAAATTTTTCTCAGTTCTTTTAGAATATGTTATGAGATATTTGTGGTAAAATGAATCTCCCATTTCTTTATTGGTGTTTCCTTAAAATTACTTTCCAAAGCTATGCAGTCTGAAAAATGTATGATATGGTCCACTTTATGTTATGAGATTTTAAAAAAATCTGTAGATTTGCATTTAAATTCATTGAGTATCTCCTCCTATCCACCCCCAAAAGATGTTTTTAATAGTTTTTCCTAGTTTTCATCTTTTCAGAATGTCACCATTCACCCAGTCACTTAGGACCTAGGACTCTTATTTTTCCTTCCCCCTCTTCCCATCTGAGCAGTTGCCAGTACTATAGATTCTACCTCTGCAAAACCCTTCAGGTCAATGTAATGCCTTTATTTCCATTTTTTTCCCATGCCCTCCCCCGCCAAAATCAGGTCCCCAAACCACTTTTTAACCAAATTATTATAGTAGTCCCCTTTTAATCTACTCTGCATATTGCTGCCAGATTAAATATCCTAAAGTGTAACTCCAAGCTCTATTTCTATCATGTCTGAACTCACAAATATTAAATTGCATCTCATTACTTTATTAGGTAAAATACACATTTCCTGGTCTGGCAATCAACTTCTTATCCTATGTATCTTTCTAGTCCTTTTTCTCTCTTCTCTTACATTTAACCTCTATTTCAGCCAACACAGACTGTCCATATTCATGCTTCCCTAAACATGCCCCAGGATTTCTTCAGTTTGACCATTGCTTTTCTTTGTCTTGAATACCCACCTCTTCAACACCATCCATTCAGTTCTATTAAAAGTGTACATTCTTTTAAGAGCCATAACAAATGCAGTTTTCTAATATCCACGGTGATGGTTATATCTCGATCCTCATAACCCTCATAGCACTTTAATTTCTCTATTTGTTATACTTGTTTTACATCTCCCCTACTGTGGAGCATGAGATATTGCTGGACATCAGTATCATAAGAATAATTCTAACACTGAAGTGAAATAAAAAGATGTCTGTAGAGTTGGCATTTTAGTGCTATGTGAAGCTCTGGTGGAGATCATAAATTTTGTTTCCAGCTCTGCTATAGACTTTTTGTGTGTAATAGTGTACACATAACTTAAATAAAACCAGCTATTATAAATCCAAAGCAGTAAGTGATGAATTTTTACTAATAGCTGCTTTCCTCTTTTTGTTTATGATCAATATTCTGTCTTCAAAGGTTAAAGCAGTAAAGTTGGGTCATGTTCTGGTAGTAGATGAGGCAGACAAAGCCCCAACAAATGTCACCTGTATTTTAAAAACTCTAGTAGAAAATGGAGAAATGATTCTAGCAGATGGAAGACGCATTGTTGCAAGTGAGTATTAAAAAAGCTTCCTTATTTAATATATGCAATTTTTCCATCTCTGTTATCAAATCACAAGCAACAAGCAAAGTTCAGTATAACTTAAATTTTCTATTATTGACAGGTATTTATTAAAATAATACATCTAAATCTGGCTTTGTCAGTTTCACATTTTATAGCCAGAGAGCATCTTTGAAAATTTCAGTAGTCATCTTAGCACAAATCAGGTTGGTATTTTTCTGCACTGAGAATACCAACATGTAATCCTTATAGATATCTCTCAATCATTTGTGTGCAATTTATTTTCTTTCATTGTCATCTGGAATTTGTTAAAATACTAGTGTATTTTTATTACTCATAACATTAAATTTTATTTTATTAGCTCAGTATAATTAGAAAAAAATTGCAAGACATTTTACTTTATATAGGCTTATTATATATAATGTGTGAATATATATGTATATATACACATGTATATTACACACATACCCCTACTTCATGAATAAGTTATTCTCTGTTCTGGATTATCTTCTCTCCCAAGCCTCCTCCAACACCCTTTTTGTTGTTGTTGTTAGGAAAAAGTGAGATGGATCAATCTCATCAGTGAATTTTACCTACAAGGAAACATTAACTTTGTCTAATGCAATTTAAAAACATTTCCTAGGTTCTAATTTCAAATAGACTTGATAATCTATAACTAGCCATTGAAAATATATGGCCAATAGCAGGGAAACCGAACAAATTGAGACTGATCACAAAAATATTCAGTATTTAAAGAGATCACATAAGGAAGACCCCATTAAAAAGGTACACGTACATCATCACAGAGATGTTCTTCTGGGACATAATTATTGCGAGATTGCCATTTCTGAATCTAAACTCAGCATTAATGAAAGTATTCTAATATTTCAGTTTTTCAACAAATTTATGAGAAAATAAGAATTTGAGTTAGCCTGAGTACTACTCTCTTAAAAAGGTCATTCGAACTCTCAGGGTTAGAATTGTGCCTGCCCTTTTCAAAGGCATTATGAGGACAATGAAATGGAAGAAAGAATTGCTGAAACAAAATGATGGGTAAGGAGTGATTATCCCCTGGTAACCCTTTACATTTTCTGATATATTTTTGATAGATAGTCTAGAAGTAAGGGAGTCATCATAATTTTTAAATTCAAATATGATTGTAGATGACATTTTAAACAGGAGCACCTAAAGCTCTTTGAACATAGTTTCAGAAACCATCACTTCTAGAGCTATGCTCTTTATTTACTTTGCTTTTTTAATTTTGATTTTTTATTGTCATTTCTGTTTTGATTAACTAATTAATTAAATTTTGCCTGTAGTCACATACACTTGTCATTTACCACTATTGAAATCAATGAGGATTAAATATTGAAACTATTGGTTGTATTAGAACATGTATATGTGGTATGTTGAAAGATTACTTTTTGTAATCTTTTGTAATCATAAAAAATTATGAGTGTAGGTTCTTACAGACTCATCTGTCAAGTAAAACTGCACATGCTTCTCAACTATTATGTTCTATTATGTTTTAAAGATTTACAGCCTAAGGCTGGTGTGTTTAAATAAACCCAGATGGCAAGAGGTTCTTAAAATAACCATAATAAAGCTTTTACTATCTCAAATTATTGTCTGGATTTGCATTTCTAACTGTAATGTACACCAGCCAGTAAATTGTAAAATTCAGCTCCTTTAATACCTTAAACATTTGCACAGAGAAAGCTCCAGTCAACTTGAGATCACTTATTTTAAGAACTATGATTGAATCCCTTGATTGGAAATAAATCAACATTGCACTAATGAGTTGACTGAGTTTTCAAGAACTTTATGTAGTTTGGTTGTGGGGTGGATGATCTGAACAGGAATCACTCCTTAGCTGCATAATTGTAGGCTCTGTACAAAAGGATGTAGCTGCTGATTTCATTAAAAACTAAAGAATGTTTGAATTATCCCTTGGGTATTCCTTGGGTTATCCCTTATTATGGATTTTTATGTTTTTTATTTTTTTAAAGGAATAATAACATCTCAAACCAGGTTTAAATATTGTAAGACATTTGTACAAGTTTACTTTTTGGATGTACATTGAATTTACGTAAAAATGCAAGTTCCTGTATAAATTAGTATATGCTTTATCAGTATTCTGTTCTCGAGCAGACTTTCTCAAGAAAGATTATTTTTCTTCAATCAAGTTATCACAGCCAGATATCTTAGAGCTTTTAATTAAACAGTACGACTATTTATATAATGTTATTTTAAAGGCTATAACTTGATATTCTTAAGAATTATTAAGTATCAATAAAGAATAAATAGAAATTTTGTTTTTCAGATTCTATTAATGTGAATGGAAGAGAAAATGTTATTGTGATTCATCCTGATTTTAGAATGATTGTTCTGGCCAACAGACCTGGATTTCCTTTCCTAGGCAACGATTTCTTCGGTACTTTAGGTAAAAGCAGTAATGATAGTAATAACAGCAATGATAGCAATAATAGTAATAATAGAGTTAGTAACAATGCTGTAATGGCTATTATTGAATGCTTACCATGTTCTGTGTCATCATCATAATCACTTTGTGTGTGTATTTGTTATCCCCATTTTAGAGAAAGAGAATATCTGATATTCAGAGAGATTAACTAATTTTCTGTGGTCACTTAACTAATGAATGGTGGAGTTAGACTTTATGTCTAAATCTTTCTGATTCCAGAGCCTTTTTTCTTAAACAATTACATTATATTTGCTTGTTTAGGGCCTCTGGGAATAAAACACAAAATAAGAAATGGTTTTTAGTATTTGTTTTTGTCACATCCCCTATCTATGAGAAAGATTGAGGCCAGCTCGTAGGAGTCTGATTCACATTGATTGGAGAGGCCCTGGGATAAACCTAATCATCAGAAGCCTTTAAGAAGGACTTCTCTTCCCTGTGGCAAGTATATAATTCTGGACTCTCATATAAGCAGACTGGGGCTGCTTCATACTCAGCATGAAGCAGGCACAGTCCCCTAGCAGGATCTTTGATTTAGCAATTCCAATTTTATTTTTATTCCAAGGGATTTACCTGTACAAGGGATTTACGTGTACAGTGACTGAAGTACAAGGGTAGGCAGTATAGCATTGTTTATAGTAGGAAGAATGATAATAACCCAAATGTTGATCCAAATGGACTGGATAAAGAATTTCTATTGTATTATCCACGTAACAGAATACTATTTAGCTTTTAGAAAAAGAATGAGATAAGTTTACCCATGCTGATTAAAAAAAAAAATCAATCATCAAAATATTAATTGAAAACAACTCAGAAAAGTGGGTATAATAGATAACAGAATACTATTTAGCTTTTAGAAAAAGAATGAGATAAGTTTACCCATGCTGATTAAAAAAAAAAAATCAATCATCAAAATATTAATTGAAAACAACTCAGAAAAGTGGGTATAATAGTGTACCATTTGTGTGTTTTTTTTAGAAAAAGCAGCAGGGATATGTGTGCATGTATATGCTTGTAAATGCATAGAATTTTTCCAGAAGAGTAGACAAGAAACTGGTAAGAGTGGTTGTTTGCAGTGGAGGTCAGGAATGAGGATGGGAGTGTAATATACTCAAACAGTTTTTGTAGTTTTTACTATGTACAGATATTACTTTAAAAGTTATTAACAATTTGTGTATCACTGATGCTTAAACCTGTAATTGTTTCCAATGTGAAAAAATTTGTGTTCTTCTTATGTGCAGATTCTTTATAGGTCAGCCTTTCTCCCAGGTCACCCATCATCTCATTTATTTTAATGCCTGTGAGACTGCTCATTCCCTTGCTGTCTCTGTCTTCCATCCACCCCCAAATGCTGAAACCTACTGTAGCTTCTGTTATTGCTCTCAGGAAATTCTGGCCACCCCCTGAATTCCCTCCTCCCCCTGAAGTCCTTTCAAGCAGTGGTGTTTTTTCTCCCACATTGGGCCTGGAGGAAGTAAAGAGTCTATGCTCTTTATCGCAGCTTCCAAATCATTCTCTTTTTCTCTTCCCTAAAACCCCCCAGCTTTACATCTCATTTCATCAGATTATGTCATGTACAACCCCTTGTTGCTGTCATCTACCCCTAGTTACTCCTTGTCATTTCTGAGTGATTTTCAGCTCTTTGTTCACTGTCACTCTCCAGTCCTACTCCTCCTCTTGGAGTGGCTGCCCTACACGTGTGACAATTCCATCTCTCTGGCCTCTCGGCTCCTTGATGTTTTTATCCTCTACTGTACCTCAGCCACTCACTCCCATGGACATACCCTAGTTTCAATAAAAGAATGTCTTCTACAATGTCAGTTTCATGATTCTGTTCTCATTTGTCCTTGGGATTTTCATTTCATCCGTGCACCCACAACCTCTCACCTTTTCAGCCACTCCCTCTGTACTAGAGCAGTCCTTCAAACCTACTGGAAACTCCAATCCATTGATCCTAACACCTTTTCACTTACTCCCCCTTGGTATATTTTCTCCTCCCTTACCCAGACTTTTTTTTTTTTTTTCTTTTCTTACCCAGCTTTAATTACATGATTATACACTTATACCACTCTCTTATGTACCATCTTCAGCTTCCCTTCTCTGCTTGTCCTCTGCATTTGGAACTCTTTAGCCTTGTTTACTGCCAACTCTCTAACTAATTGAGCCTACACGTGTGCAGCTGAATGTGGTTAGAAAATGTGCAAAACCATTCTGACCAATCTCACTTTAAATTCTAAACTATGGACCTCTAGTGTCCCTTAATGCAGTCACACCACATTTCTTTTATTTCACTTTCCTGTTCTCCTAGGCAAGTAGTCCACGTATTCTTTCTCTTCACAGCTCTAACACTACTTCAAAAAAATTTTTTTGTTTTAAAATTATACAATATTTGAACACTCACTGTGAGAAAATATAATATAGAAGAGTTCATGGAGAGAAAAGGGAAAATCTCCTTCATTTTCCCACTGGTCCCATTGCCTACCCTTGCTAACCAGTATTCAGTTTTCTGACTCTCCTTCCAGACTTCTGATGCTTTTTCATAGCCTTCTATTTCACTGAGAAAAATGAAAGCAATTAGAAACAAATGTCCACAGACTCCTATCACCCAGTCTTCTACCTTTGTAGGTCTCTGCTTTCCCACTGGTTACAGGTAGACTGCTCACACTTCCATCCAGAGCCAGCCCCTCCATGTGAGCTACTAGATTGCACCCTCTCAAGGATACTGCTCTAGCAATTCTGCCCTCCCTCTCCTACATCAGCAACTTCCACCTCTACTAGGTTATCCCCATCAGCATACAATCAAACCATTATCTCCTCCATTAAAAAAAAAAAAAACTACTAATCCTCCCTTTATTTTTTGCAAGCTACTGCTATATTTTTTCTGCTCTCCTTTGTAGCAGAACTCTTCACAACAGTTGTTTGTACTCAGAAGAATCATCTATACTTGCTGTATCCATCTGTTCATCATCATTCTTTCTTAAATCCATTCTGATCAGATTTTTGCTCTCATCACTCCACGGAAACAATTGTCAAGGTTATGATTGACTTTTTCTTTGCTAAGTCCAGAAGTCAATTTTCATTTTACTTAATCTATCAGCACTATTTAATAGAGTTGACATAGTCGGTCATTCTCTTCCCCTTGATATGTTTTCTTGCATTTGACGTCCGGTACTACTTCAAGAACTTTCTTGGTTTCTTTCCTATCTTAATGACCATTCCTTCTCAGCCTCCTTAGTTGGATCCTTATTAGAATTCCCCAGGGCCTAAGCCCTGGTCCTCTTTTACCTGTCTATACTCATTCCCTTGGTTAAATCAGAATGTGTCATGTTTTAAAATATCATTATATGCCTGTTATTGCCAAATTTTTATCTCCAGCTCAGACCTCCCTCCTGAACTCCACACTCATATATCCAATGCCTGTTCAATAGCTCCTATATCTTGGCTTTAACAAGTCCATAATGAATTTATGTTTCCTTTCATACCTGATTAACTTGTAGTCTTTTTCATATCAGTTGATAGCTCCATCCTTCTCAGGCCAAAAATCATTCTTGACTTCTATATTTCTCTTAAGTTCTGTTTCATATATCAGGAAATCTTTTTGGCTTTATCCTCAAAATATATTATCCTACTTCCCATCACTTGTATTTGCTGCCATTCTGATTTGAGCCACTGTTGTCTCTCACCTGGATTACTTCTAATAGTCTCCTATTGGATCTCCCTGCTTCCACCCTTATCCTTTGTTATGAACCATGAAATATCTGAGATTTTACCCTACTTTTAAGCTAACAAGTTGGCCTGCCACAGTTTCATGGCAGAAGACACTAGACTCCTGGGTCAGAGACAGAGGAGGGATTAATACTCACCACAAAAACAGCAGTCAGAGTATCAGCGTTTATGCTGGTTCCTCAAGCCCCAGTCCCCACAGAGCAACCCAAAGAGGGCCAGATGATGCTTGCACTTACAGTGAGATGCTTTACAGGAGAGGGACCCCTAGCTTAGGTAACCCACATCTTTTATAATGGGCAGTAAGCATGCCTTACTTAGTTCCAGGGAGAGATGGAGACAATTTCAAGTCTTCCAAGGCTGTTTCCTCTACAAATATCCCTGGAAAGGTAGTCAACGTGGTCAGTGCCTCTGCTCACAAGAAGAGATTTGTCTCCAAACATCCTTCTGCAGTCTGTTCTCAACACAGCAATCCACTGCTCTATTAAAAATCCTCCCATGGCTTCCCATTTTATTCTAAGTATAAGCACAAGCATTTACAACCATTTACAATGTCCTACACATTGTGTCTTCCACACCCTCTTATCTCTCTGACCTCATGTCCTGTACTGCTGTGTACTGCTCCCCATCACTCGTTTTGTTCCAGCCGCTCTGCTCTCCTGCCTCTTCCTTCCATGTGCCAGATATGGGTCTTTGCATTAGCCATGCCACTGCCTGCAATGGTCTTTCCCCGGATATCCACATTTGCTCAGATGTCACCTTCTCAGTGAAGCCTACCTGACTGACCTCCCCCACCATCACCTTTCCACTGTCCTATACTATACTTTTCTTTTTCTTTTTCTTTTTTCTTTGAAATATATACTCTCTAATATTTATATTTATCATTTGTTATCTTTCTATGCCGGAATATATACTCCACAAAGAAGGGATTTTTGTTTGTTTGTTTTTGATCACTAACTGTACATAAAGTATCTAGGGCAGTACTTGGGACATAGAAGACATTTAAGAATTATTTCATGAATGAATGAATGGGAAGTCAATTATCTTTTTAGATTAGTGTTAAATTTCATTTTCAGCAAAAAAGGCAAAAGCTGTTCTTGAAAAGCTTTATGGGATAAAAGTTTGAAGTTATTATGGCTTTCATTTTATTCAGTTACTTCTAAACACACACACACAATAACTGTTCAAATTGTTCTCAAAGTAAAATCTTTCTCCTGACTAGATGTTCTCTTTTTCTAAAATGAGCATATTAAATTATGTAAATCTATTTACTTTCACTTCCTTTGGTCTCTGGTCTCTTAGATTATAAATCAGTATAATTATATGAACTTTTTTTCTTTTTCTTTTTCTTTTTCTTTTTTTTTTTTTGCTGGCTGGTATAGGGATTGAAACCCAGAACTATGTGAACTATTAACATGAGAAATTCATCCTTTTCAGCATAGGTTATATTTTTATAATACATTCTCAGTTGCCTAGACTATAGGTGAAATATTTTGTTTCAACATTCCTTTTAAAATTTTAATTTAGACAATATCTCTGCAGGTTTACTTTTCTAAAACTAACCTCTTAAGTATATTCTAGTAATCTGTACTAGGTATAAATTGTTGAGAGAGTTATGATAATAATTTTTTAGTATACATAAAGAAATATTCATATGAGATAGATGTATATAATTTCCGAAGATATTCAACATTTGTTAAAGATGAAACGGCAGTCTTAGAACGATATGAAGAATATATTCCCATTAATGGAAAAGGAATAATCACCAAAACTATATCTGTTTGCATCTTTGCATTTTTTTAAAAAAGTTCTAATACAGGTCTGGAAAAATAAATACACTGAGCTATTAAGGCTGGGTGCCTTTTGGGGAGGAGTAGCCCTGGCAGAGACAAAGGAGGCTTCCCCTTTTTGCTCTTTTGAATTTTTATTTGAATATCTCCCGGTGAGCATGTGTTCAAATATTATATGATTTTTAATAGAAATAAATACATGCAGAATAAACTACACATCACCTGGTTTTCTTTTCTTTTGCTTCAGTTATTTTCTTTCTTCTCTGTACCATCCTATTATTGGCTGGGCTTTCTGCACTTTGATGAGCAATCAATGGCTCTTTAAATGACCGTTCCGGTTTTTCCTGTGGCATTATAATGGATTAGTTGCATGCTGACTGTGAATTTTTTCTCTCCCTTAGGTGATATTTTTAGCTGCCATGCAGTTGATAATCCCAAACCCCACTCAGAGCTTGAGATGCTCAGACAGTATGGACCAAATGTGCCTGAGCCCATTCTTCAGAAGCTCGTGGCCGCCTTTGGAGAGCTGAGGAGTTTGGCTGACCAGGGAATTATTAACTATCCTTATTCTACCAGGGAAGTTGTCAACATAGTCAAACATTTACAGGTATGGGTGCATAGAGGTTTAGAAGAAGCCATCTCTTTTTTTTTAAGAGTACACAATTTATACCAGGTCTTTTCATTTCTATCAATATAAGTATGAGTTGGATGACATGATATGAAGTATTTTCAATCTAAGTTATAAATCTGGAAGGCCAATGAACATTTTCTGTTCAGGCTTTGAAATGACTTTGTCAAGGCTCTGTGCCGTGGTTGTTAGCAAGGAGCTAAGAAGTTTGGTGGAAGTTTTCTTCACGGGGAGGCAAGGCAAGAGCGTGAGACAGTGGGGAAACCTCCCTGTTCTGTTTTTTGGCTTTGTACATCAAGCGTGTGGTATCTGGATGAAAAATATTTTCATTTTGAAACAAATGACATGGGGATAGAAAACAGAATAGGAACAAGCAGTATAGATTGTACATCTGTAAACAATGCAAGAAAGTTTTAGAAGGTAGAATATGTAGGCAAGAGAATGAAATTCCTTGTCACCATGTACAATATGTATGTAGTCCATCTGGTAAAGAAAACAACAACAAAAAAAACCCCACATAAATTCTACTTATCAAATTATGGTCTCCATGCCAACAGTCACAACCTAACTGACTCTTGACCTCTGCCCCATCCCCTACCATCCAAGAAATCCTAGAAAGAAAAATAGAAAAGGGCCGGCCCGTGGCTCACTCGGGAGAGTGCGGTGCTGATAACACCAAGGCTAAGGGTTCGGATCCTATATAGGGATGGCCAGTTTGCTCACTGGGAGAGCGTGGTGCTGACAACACCAAGTCAAGGGTTAAGATCCCCTTACTGGTTATCTTTTGGGAAAAAAAAAAAGAAAAATAGAAAGCGGGGGGGCAGAGGGGGAGATGTTAGTCAAAGGGTACAAAGTTTCAGTTAGGAAGAATAAGTCTGTTTGTTTAAGTATTTTTCTTAAATATTTATTTTTTAACATTTACTCGTACATATTTGTGGGGTACAGTGTGTTGTTTCCATACGTGCATATACTACACAATGATTCACTTAGGGTCGATAGTATAGTTTTGTACCCATCAGTCCACCACTTCTTCTTCTCCCACCTCTCCCTTCCCTGCCTCTGGTAACCATTATTCTACTCTCTACTTCTATGAGAACCACTTTTTTTTTTTTTAAGATTCCTTTTTGTTTTTTTTAAGATAGAACCTGTAGGTTCCACATATTAGTGATATCATGTGGTATTTGTCCTTCTGTGCCTGACTTTCTCCACTTAACATGATGGTTTCAAATTCCATTCATGTTGCTACAAATGATAGGATATGGTTTCTTTCTATATCTGAATAGTATTCTATTGTGTATATAAACCACAGTTTTTTAATCCATTCTTCAGTAGGGCATTAGGTTGATTCCATCTCTTGGCTATTGTGAATAGTGCTGAGATGAATATGGGAGTGCATGTGTCTTTTTGATATATAGATTTCATTTCCTTTGGGTATATGGCCAGGAGTGGGATAGCCGGATTGTAAAGCTGGTCCATTTTTAGTTCTCTGAGGAACCTTCATCGATTTTCCAAAATGGCTTTATCAATTTACATTCTCACCAACAGTGTAGGAGGGTTCCCTTTCCTCCACATCCTTGCCAGTATTCGTTATTTTCTATCTTGTTGATAATAGCTAGGAAAGAATAAGTTTTTGAGATCTATTGCACAGCACTGTGACTATAGTTAATAATAATGTAATGTATCTTTTTAAATTGATAAGAGAGTAGTTTTTAAATGTTCACACCACAAAAAAACCGTAAGTATGTGAAGTAATGGATATGTTAATTAGCTTGCTTTAATTATTCCATAATGTACACATATATTGAAACATCACATTGTACCCCATAAATATATACAATTATTATTTGTCAATTAAATACATGTATTTGGAAAGAAAAGTATAAAGCTTTATCTGCCTATAAAACCATGATAAGTCCAATTCAGCCAGCTCAGATCTCAGCACCTAAAAAAATCAAAACAGAACCAGTAAAGGACCGAGAAGACGCTATCGTAATTACCTGTACTTTTTATATCCTTCTTTCCCTTTTTTTTGTTGCTTTATCTTTTTTTTTCATTTATTCATAGACTGTGACTTTTCTAAATACTATGTAGATATTCAACACTCTACTTAACTAGCATATTTAATTTGTCAATCTGGAACTCATTTTAAAGACAGATGATTTCAGAAAGCAGTAGCAGTCACTGAACACCAGGATCTGAATCTGAATACTGCTTTAAAATTTGAGAGGAGGAACAGTTTCACCTCAAATTCTAGTATTTATATTTAAAAAGGAAAATATTCTTAAGTAATCTGAGCAAATATTAAAAGAGAAAAATATATATATTCCTGCTATCTGGTTATCTGACGAAGCCAGTAAATTTCTTGTAAAGTTCATTTGATCATTACTGTTCTATCAGTTTCATAAATTTTTATAATGCTGTGTGTTTTTTCACATGCATAATAAGAGAATTTTTTTCAATACAGAAATTTCCCACTGAAGGTCTCTCCAGTGTGGTTCGGAATGTGTTTGACTTTGATTCCTACAACAATGACGTGAGGGAGATTTTGATTAACACTTTACACAAATACGGGATACCAATTGGAGCAAAACCTACCAATGTGCAGCTGGCAAAGGAGTAAGGCAAACTCACTTTTGAAAAAATAATCTTGAGCATTACTCTGCTGGTTCTTAGATGCTGATAATTCCTGGTCTACTGTTATACTCTACTAAACCGAGTTGCTGTGGAAGTAACTATCCATCAATGAGCTATTCATATATACGTTGCTATTTGCTGGCTGGTTTTCAGTTAAATAGCATTATTTATAGGCCTGTAAATTGAGAATCTTGATTATTATGAATGTCCCATGAGTAGATGTAATCAAATAAAGGGAAATATTTGTTTCTTTAACTGTCTCTGTCCTTTTGTTAAATTACTACAGTTCTCGGGCCGGCCCAGTGGTGCACTGGAGAGTGCGCCGCTTGGGAGCACGGCGGCGCTCCCTCCGAGGGTTCGGATCCCATGTGGAGACCGGTTCCCGCTCATTGGCTGAGCGTGGTGCGGGCGCAACACCGAGGGTTGCGATCCCTTGCCGGTCCCCGGTACGGGCGCGACACCGAGGGTTGCGATCCCGTTACTGGTCAGTAAAAAAGACAAAAAGGAAAAAAAAAAAATTACTACAGTTCTCATTATTTCATAATCCAGTGCAAAATTATTGTCCAACATAAAAACTGTGTAAAGGGATAATATACATTTAGTTAAGATGTTCTTATTTATGTCACCATATAGTTTTCTTTTGGGTAGTTTCTAAATTTATAATCATATTAACTTAAAAGATTTTTTGTTACTTATTACAGCTTCATGGATGACAGAGGTAGTGAGAGCAAGTAGGTTTGTTTCATGTGGACTGGTTATCTACCTTTTATTTTATAATCACAGGCTACTTACTTAATCTTAGTTAAGAATCTTGCAAATATGTTGTTGACCAGAAAGATAGGTGAGAGTTTATTAGTAGAGAAATTAAGTCAGTACAAATTCACTGAAAAATAGTTTTAAATATGTATAACGTATAAATAATGCATCTAGTGCCATTCTTGTGTATAAAAAGTGGCTAATTTTTATAAATTCACAAGAGATAATAATTTTAAAGTAAATTATTATCTGACTTTCATCTCATATAGGAGGCAGTATTTTTCTGTAGAAAAAATTGTTAAATATAAATCAGTGATTAGTCCAGCAAAATACATATATATATCCTAAGTGTATAATGATTCTTATTTATTTATTCTTTGAAGTCATTGTCAAATCCTGTCAGAACATATGCCAATAAAAATAAATTATTAAAGCATCAGAAATTTCTTAAAGAGAAACAAATATTTCCCTTTTGTGGTAATAGCACAAGATGGAGTTATGTTAGAAATTATCAGTGCATTGGTTTATATTATTAATGAGTGAGTAAATTTTTTTCAAGAAGAGTGATTGGGTGTCAGTTGCTAATGCAGACACGTTTCTTACAAGACTGTTTCACTGCTTGATTAGCAGTCCTTATGGGCATTTTGGAACTAGGTCAGTAATTTAATAGGTATAACATTATGTATATTAGAGAGTTCAAAAAAATTGTCTTTAATGTGCAACTTCTATTAGTACTCATTTATTTTGCTTCCTTTTTATAAACAATATCTTTATTTTCAGTTGGAAATAAGATGGATTTTATTACCACTGACAAATTTATATAATTAGAGTTCTAGCTTCATCAAAATTAGGCTTATGATTAAAAAATAACTTTTTATGTACTCTTGCACAATTTTAAATAAAAATTAAGGTACATACTAATTGGTAAGATCAATCATAACAAAATTGCTGGTAATTTCAGTTACTGAAAAAGACAGATAAAATGGTTTAACTCATTGTTGTCCTCAGTTCTAAACTCAAAAAATCTTGACATGGCATTTTAATTCTTGCCATGGCAAGTTAATTCCAACTCTTGTACTTACTTATGAGTGGAAGCAAAAGTACATTGAGCCTGGAAACAAGATGGTTACACTCATGCTTAAGATGGGGATGGAGGGGCCCGCCTGGTGGCGCACTGCTACAGTGCACCGCTTGGGAGTGTTACGGCACTCCCGCCGAGGGTTCGGATCCCACATACAGACTGGTTCCCGCTCACTGGCTGAGCGAGGTGCGGGTGCAACACTGAGGGTTGTGATCCCGTTGCCGGTCCCGGTCCGGTACGGGTGCGACACTGAGGGTTGCGATCCGTTGCCGGACACGAAAAATGACGACAAAAAAAAAAAAGAGATGGGGATGGAAACAACTAGTTGTCCACTCGCTACATATAGCTAAAAATAGACTTATAGCAGTGTGGAGGGTGAGTGAATTTTCCTTTGGGGTGGAGGTAATAGTAGACTATAGTTTGCACAGTCGTTCAAAGTATTTTTGCCTCATCTGTAAATTGCAATGACTCTGGCAGCTCAAAAGTCATGGTGTCATTTTATTACCCCATAGTAAAATCCACAGGTACTACCATAGCACTATTTCTGTTGAATTGTCTGCCTTATACTTAGGGTAGCATGATAAAGTGAACAAAGTAACAGACTAGAAATTTAACAGTTGAGTTATACATTCAACTTGTATACCTGGGTCAGGCATAGAGAAAGATGAAAAAACACAGTCCTGCCCTCAGAGAGCTCAGTTTCATTTTGTTCCTTTGAATTTAGAGAAGTTACTCAACTAAATGGGTTCCCTATTGGGAAAATTAGGGCATTTTATTACATAGAGCATAACCATTAATTTACCATCTAAATTAGGACCTTTTTGAGAATGGAAGGAGAAGCTTTTGGCAATAATTTTGTTAAAAGAGATGTGAAATAAAACTGAGCTGGTCAGGCCAGAATATGTGGTTATCCTTATTGTGGACCATTAGTAAGGTTCCCTCTTATTCTAACATCTTTTCATTTTAATGTAATCTCAATGTTTCTCTCATCTGCAAAAATGAAACAAGCAAACATAAAAAAGAAGTGAGGCTAACTCTTTACTTTTTCCCACTAGAATAGCACAGTTGATAACAATAATACAGATTTCTGAAGATTTAAAGTCATCCCCATGCAGTGTCATGATTTCACTTTGGCTTTTTGAGACTTTTTGCTAAATCTTTTGCTTTACTAGACCTTTTGCTAAATCAGTTCTAGGCTGTGCAGCTTGCAGGTACAGAGTTAGTGGAGAAGTTCCAAATTGGATTTCAGTTCCTAAGGATGAAGGGTAAAATTGTTTCATTACTATTAACATCATTTACCCCTGAATGAAAAATTTTACTATAATCTATTAATTTTCTTGTTCTCTAATCCAACCACAATGCTTATTGGATAGGAGCAATTTTACATTGAGTCTAGAGCAAGGTGGTTATACCCACACCTAAGATGGGCCACACACTGCATATGGGGTAGAAGAGGGAAACTTTTACATGAGACAGAGAAGATACTGAACCGCTATTTGTATAGACATCTACAGCACCTTCTTCAACTGAAATCAGGATATACAAGGGTACTTTGAAAAATTCATGGAAAGATTCATATTATCTTTTAGTTCTATTTTTCCTCAAACTTTTTGAAGGACCCTCGCACTGTAGCTGTTCAGGAGTGGTGATGTAGTTTTAGTGCTCTTTGCATCACTTTCGTTTTTGTTCTCCTAAATAATGCAGTAATGTTACCTATTTCATAGTTCTCCGTACATTTTTGAAAGGCCCAGTGTAATGAGGTGAATCTAACTTTTTTAATAAACCTTTGCTAAACCTGGTATCTTTAGACTGAGTCTTATTGGGTGGTTATTTTACCTTGCTTGACCCTGTCATAATGCATTTCTTCTTCTTGATCTACAAATATATTCACAGACCGTAGTCCTGGTATTAGAATTGGCCACCTAGAACCCAATATACTGCATCTACCTCTTTCTATTAGTACTTCCTGAGGTTTTTATTGGTCCCCTTTTAAGTTTCTAATATGAAGGGATATGCCAAAGAAGTGGCAAACATAACCAAATAAGGAGGCACATGGGGAGAAATTATTTTAAAAAACATAAATATCATGCTTTATATGGCTTTGAATTTAATCATGACATTTGTCCTATTGATAAACCAGTAGTCAAGGTAATTGATGTGTGTATGTATGTGTGTATTGTACCGATCTCATGTTGTCATTACTATAGGCAGAGATAGGAGGATTTGGGTTAAAATCTGAACTCTGGAGTTTTAAATGTCATTATTGGAATTATATATTTATATATATAATGTATGTATATATTATATATATTATAACTGAAATAGGTCTAAACATCCAACCAAAGGCATATAGATTACTGTAAGTATAGATATAAATTTCAAAGAAAAGTTTGTTTGCTTTTCCTTCAAGTGAGCTTTTATTTCTGAAGTTTCTTTTATTTGGGAATAAACATACTGCTAGCACATTAGTGCTTCCAAATTAAAAAGTATGTTCCAGAATAATTTAGGAATTCTGTCATGCTAAGAAAAACGTTTGTTTCAAAGAAAGAAAAAAATCCTGTTTTCTTTTTCTGAACCTTCTTTTTAAGAGACTTATACACTATTCTAAAATTTATATGCCACTCTACTTAGCATTTCTTAACATGAGAGATTGTCATTTCATAGATTTACAACTGAATAGAAATACTTCTAAATTATAACATTACCAATGTTATAATTATCATATGTAATAATAATAGTGATGATGGCAATAGAAACGCTTATAGATAACTATGTGCTAAACACGTTTCCAAGCACTTCCCGTTACATGAATTTATGTAATCTTCACAACAAGCCTACGATATATATATGTAATATGTATATTATTGCATTTTGTAGATGAGGAATTTGAGGCACAGAGGTTACATAACGTGCCTAAATTTAGAAAGCAGGGGCAGAGCTGGGATATATTAATTCCAATTCTAAGGATGATGTAAGCAGGTTGATATATAGATTGTGGGCAGTTTCTAAGTCCAGAGTTGTTATTTGGATACTGAAAATTATCAACAGTTTTGGTTTAAAGGACCTTGTGCTTTTAAGTAATCAATTTGGAAATCATCATTGACCATGATATCATATACATATAATATACAAATTCTTATTCTTC